TACTTGTAGAATCGCAATGCTCGTCAGTGGCCAACAACTTGACTTTCAGCCAATCAGAGAGCATGAACCCCCAACAAACAAACGGGGGGGGGGGGGGCATTTTCTCCGTACATCTACGGATGAGCCAGTCACACTTCATATGCAAAAAACACTTCCTCCAAGCTAGTTAACCACTGTAGCTAGTATTGACATTATGATTAAATCCCAATGGATTAGCTAGTTTCCATGAAACAGCTGTCCTTGTTAGCTGCAGAGTTAGCTAGCTGGCTAAACATTTGGCTATGGGCTGGCACTGGCAGTATGGGATTATGGAGAATGAATTAAATAGTTTCTTTGTCATCTTGCTATGTAGTTATCTAGCTGTGGCCATCTGGCTGGTATCAACAAGGGCTTTCTACAGAATAGCAACATTAGCGCAGATAGCTTATAATATAGACCATAAGCAATACGCACAGATATGCATTGCAAAACAACACTACTGCCACCTTGTGGTCCTCTGTAGCTCAGCTGGTAGAGCACGGCGCTTGTAACGCCAAGGTAGTGGGTTCGATCCCCGGGACCACCCATACACAAATGTATGCACGCATGACTGTAAGTCGCTTTGGATAAAAGTGTCTGCTAAATGGCATATTATTATTATTATTATTCTGGTTTGGAGTATTTTAACAAGGCTGAGTGGCTGACGACTTAAAAGGTCTTCGCTGTGTGAACACAAAAGAGATTGACTGCTAACACTCGGTTGGCAGGCAAACGTTTGACAATCCTGTGTCTGAGCTTTAAGTTCATTAAAATATAGAGAGAGACTGCGATTTGTTTACTTCATTGGGTCATCACAGGAATCCCCACTAGCTTAATGTTTACAAACTTACTCTTGTGTTCTAGAATGTTCTAAAGTGGACCTGTTATGTCTCAGCCTTTACAGAGAAGCAATCAGAGCATCGTTGGAACAGGGAAACCAGACTGGCCATGTTGTATTGCGGTTTACGGTGAATTTACAGTACATGTTATTCAACAATTTAATTACACTGTTGCGCATGTCAATGAACACCTGCGTTGCTGACCGCTAAAATAGAACTTGGTTCTATTTAAGACGCTCAACCCGCCTCTCCCATCTACTCATTGGTTTTCACAAGCATACAAACCCACATGGGGTGATGAAAAATGAACAAGGAGAGATTAATCAAAGTTAACTAAATACTAACTAGGATTCTCCCATTTATCTGTGGATTAATCGTCCTAGTAGAGAAACACACATTTTGTATGACTCCGGGTCAAAGTTCTACAAATACACAGCAACAAAAGGACCTCCTGCATTCAAGGTAAATTAACAACCAACAACCAACAACCCAATGTTCATCTCTTATGTGTTATGTATTTTAACCTGCTGTCGGTCATGATGAGTGCCAGATCAACACATGCCAAGGCGTAACAGGTAGCTATAGAGAAATGTGCAAAGATTGTAAGTTAGATATTTTCATGAGGCTACATTTTGGGTGTCGCACAAAAATGCCACAGCCAAGACTAAAAATAGTTACTTCAGATACACTCATCTAAGAAATATTCAATTTTACTAGAAAACCAATTGGGAAAATATGTAGATTAAAAATGGTCTGGCGCCATGTCTTCATAATTCTGCATGGCTCGGAGTCATGCTAATAACATCTACTGAATGGAATGGTACATTTGAGCACCCTTATATCATGTTATTTTTTACAAACATGTATTATTATTCTGGTGACTTCAGATGCTTAAAATGAAACACTTCCAGAGAAGTTAGGAGTACAGTAAGCTATTTGCCAGCCTCTTTACATTATAAGGAGGCTAAGCTTGCCGAGTAAAGGTAGTAACCTGGTAGCTTAAATACAACAGCAACAACAGGTTTTTATCTTATTGTAATTACATAGTTGAGCAGTTTAATATATTGTTTTATTCCGCAATTCAATATTCAAACTATGCCATCTTGAGGGTGAAATCACAACGTGTCACTTGGCTACATGTCACAGATTTAAAAATGTATGCACTCACTAACTGTAAGTCGCTCTGGATAAGAGCGTCTGCTAAATGACTAAAATTTAAATTTAAATTTTAAAAAGACGTTCCAATAACACTTAACTACAGGTATGGACTAAAGCCTGAAAGACTGCATTGGAGGACAGGATTATAGTGACATAACTATATGGTATGCTGTGAGAAGTTATTGAATCCTGAGCTAAAAACGGTTGGATCAAAACACAGGGAAAACATCCAACAGCTATGAACGCACTAGCTACAGAGACACTGGGTTCTATATGTTTCTGCTGTAATAAAGCTACGGGATAGAGCCTGTATACTTTAAATGTAATGTTGTACATGCCACAATGATGTGCCTTGTTTTTCAAACAAAGTGTATCATAAAACAAGGAATAGGAGATCTAGTTATACTGTAGCCGGAATCTTGTTTTGTTTCTTCCGTTTCAATAATACTCCATAGTAAACATCCTCACTCTCACATTAATTGTCTGGCACATGGTGAGCGTGTGAATGTGAACATTATTTCAGGCATTTCTTCTGAGGGATGGGCTAATCCTCCATTTATGGAGGATTTCATGGACCTTCTTAACGTTAGCTAAATGTGTTTACATTTCCAGCTACAACGTGAGTGTGTGTAGCAAGTCGCCATGAAGGGGCCTACGCGTGCAAGCGAATTATACCAATTTCCTGTTTAGATTTTGTGCAACAGACCACCCTAGTCCATTATCAGGATCTGATCTGGATCTGATCTGGCCCTCGGGTTGACGCATCCATGCCAGGCCTCAATCAGATATGTTAAGAGGGGGCGTGGCCGTTGTTATTCTGTAATAACTTCGCTAACAAATATTTGAAACACCATGGGAAGCAAACTTGTCTCTTGGCAAAAAATGGCCAAACAACCATATTGTTCCAGTGGCATTGAATCCCTTTAGAGTCAAGGAAAACTCATTTAAATTAAAAACGTATTTTTCCATGGGAATAATAAACACATGGAATTCAGTGTCTAAAATGATGGTAGGATGTGTGGTGTGTAGTGAGTCACATATTAATCATTAACCAGTATTGCATGAAAAATATAGCTATACTTACTTTCTCCATTTGTTAGCCCACACTGGCATACAATGTAGGTAAAAGTAACCAAAACAACCGCTGAGGTCCCAAGCCGCATTGTGACTTCGATTGTGTTCTTATTTTGTTGTGTATCCAAAAACGTGGGGGTTGTTTTGAAGATATCCAAAGTTCGTTTAAAATGTGTTTCTAAGAAATGCAACACAAACATGTATTCAAAAAGAGACGAGAACTAGTCCAGTTAGCCCCCCTAAAAAGGGGCCGGGGGGGTCCAATTTGGTTGTAACGGTATCTTAATATCTTCTCAGCTAACTTTGGTGATTTCGGATTATCCTTGAAACAAATGACCACTAAATAACGTGATCTTGGCTTCTGGTGACACATGTGCGAATAAAAAGCTTCATTTTCCACAATTGTATGGGATAGTTCACTTTCATCTGTTTTATACAAAAGTCTTCCGATTGGAGAAAAATAAATGTCACACTGCTAGCTGAACTAGTAAGGAGGTACCAGTTGGGAAACTAGCTACGGGCTCATTCCACGATAAACGAGGTTCCAATGTTGAAATTCCATGTAATTAACTATGTGCGTTTGGTAAAACACTCAGAGACAGTATTTTCGTATAATAAAGCAATTATTTAAGATAAATGCTTGGTAATGTCGAAATATATGTGTCCTCTTTCTTCCAAAAACCCCAGTTATTTCGCCAAATTTCTATCGACCCAAGAACCTAGCTAGCTAACGTTAGCTAGCTAACTAGATAGAGTTGGCTAGCTTGCTGTAATCCACAGGTCGCTGATCGAGTGGTTCATGCACCTCCAAGTATTCCACTTATTCACCGTATCACAGCAAGAACGCCTTTTAAAAACGTACGAAGAAAAACATGAACACATCCCAGGAACTCCTTTGGATACGTGCAGAAAAAACGTGGATAGCTTTTTCAACGACCTTCCCCTGAACTCCTTCAGTCGCTACAGTCACGCCACTACAAAATGAAAACACCCATAAACAAAAAACGTCATACAGCGAACGTTACTTTTAGCCATTAAACAAATAATTGCCGCCGCTTCCAGCACATTGCTTCGAAGTGTGAAAAACTTCGATCCCCGTATACGGTACCTCTCTCAGGTTCCCCCCTTTTCGTCTCTTTCTGTGTCTATCCACCAGTAAACAAGTACTGCCAGTCAGCTGGGGCAGATAGGGTATGTTGGAAAACACGGAGTAGCGTTACAGCGAGAACCTCAGGAAAGTGCGGATTGGAGTTTATTGCATTATACAAAGCTCATCCATGAGCCTAACAAAATCCTCTTTGTGTCAACCAACCAAAATATTATTAGAATGACAAACGCAATCATTCAGAGATGATAGACAATTTAAAGTGAATGATTTAGAGTTATTTCTATTACTCCAGCCGGAACGTTTTCATAAAAAAAAGATTTTCTTAGCAATTTGTAATAAAACTAGTATCTGCCAAGTTGGCTATAAAACCACCAGATAAAATAATAGGCAGCAGATGCATCTTTAATTTATAATTGTTATCAATATTTATTCTAACTATGATTTCCAAATTGCACAAATTAATTGTAGTTCAATTTTGTTTAAGTATAGTGTAGTTCCAAAGTAATAATGGAATGGTTTTAGCAGAGAATAGTATAAATAGCCACATCCCAACCCTGGAGGCAGGAAGGAAGCCTAGTAGCCTTTAGCTTGGTACACAACAGTACAGTCATTCAGTTTTGCATGACAAACACATCCTCATAACCCCAGCATTATCACCATATGACATTTATAGCATTCATG